CCCAAGTGCCACCGGCCGCCCTGCTCCTGCTGCCTGAGGGAAAGCCATCACGCAGAGGCAGGACACCAACCTCGGTGCTGCTAGGGGCGGGCTAGAGCGAGGAGGCAGAGGCACGGCTTGGGGTGAGGAGAGGCCGCCTTCTGGCTGAAGGGTTTTTGATCTCAGACACAGCAGAAACAGCTGTTAGGTATTAAAAACCAAAGATTGTAACTCAGTTCGGTCAGACCCTAAAAAAAAAAAAGTGTGACATCGCCTTGTGGTTAAAAGTGAAAAGCTTCTGGAATTGTGCAGACTGCAGAGTATCTCAGAATGTGTGGCTACCAGGAGCAGGTTCCAACAGGTGACGGGGTGTCAAGCTAAGGCTCAGACAACGGGCCAGGCTGCTGTTTACCAGGGCCTCTTCCTCCCTGCACCCACCCACCCACCCGCAGCTCACGCTGTTCCGAAACAATGAATAACTGCTGGGTCCCGGCCTCAAAACTACTGAGTGCCCGACCGTAAACCCTGTCCCTGCGCTGACAGATCTTCCCAGCCACGGTGCGCGGGGGCACTAGGGCTGGCTGGACGAGGAAGCTCAATTTTCAGTATTCTTAGGGATTACTTATAAATAATCATTTTTATTGCACTGGTCTTTTAAAAATCATTGCTTTGACAGAGGAAGTCTTTGAGCTAAGAAATAAACTCCAAATATACATGAACTGTGTGCCCAGCTGACAAGCATGAGGCTGTTTTAGTGACTATTTTTCTGCTGATACCAAAATTAAGATTTAGAAAGATTTGTTTTCCATGTTCTGAAAAACCTTTCAACAGAAATCTTCAATTATTTCTTATCTACAATATCTTCTCTTTCCAAAAAAAACTTCTCCCCCTGAAGAAAACAACCAAAAGAAAACTGCCCAACTAAAAGATCTGACAAATTAGCATATTATGGTCAACAAAAATAAAGCCTCCCACAAATTTCAAAACTCCGAAGCTTTTATTTGGGGTGGTCTCTAAATACCGCTTTTATGAAACCACCTTCCCTTCAGATAAGACAGCCATATGGCCCACACAGACATGTCATCATCAAACATATGAAAAGCCTTTTAAAAGTAAAGACGAAGTCGCTATTTCCTATAGCAACCATTGCAAGATCCCCAAAGAGCAGATCCTGAAGGTCTCCATTTTAGTGCCTATGTGAAAAGTAGAAAAACCCATTGCCCCACCCAAGAGCTCAAATTTCCTTTTGAAACTTTTGGCGTGGTAATGGCAGCCAGTTGTGAAGCTCAGTGCCCACACAGAGCCACCATATTTCATGCAGCCCTCTTCTCAGAAACTCAAGGCTACGGCTAATCGCCACGACCACCCCACCCCGCCAGGCTGGTGCTGAGAACTGCTGGCTGACAGCCACTGTCCTCCAGATCGGCCCTGAGGAAGACGCCACCATTCCCAGATGTCTTTCACTGATTGTTTCCCAGTTGGGAGAAGCTCTGGGCAAAAAGGCCAAGACCGTGAGGTTCCATGGGCTGGATCGATCTGGCCCTCAGGAGGGCCAGTGAAACTGACATGTCCCCAAGACCCATGCGTACTGTTTTTCACTGGGGTGGAGGGGTGGGGGAGAGTGGGTTGGGAATAGGGTAAACATGTCCCCGGCTGGGTCACACTCCATCACTCAGCACGATTCCCAGGGAGCACTTGATCACTGTGGACCCACGTCCCACTATTCAGGTCACTATGTAAATGAGACTCCCACTGCCCTAGGGAACGCATCCAGTAACAAAGCTCAGGAACAGAGTTCTTCCGGATGCTCTGCACTGCACCTGAGGCTAGGAGGCCACTGCAGTTTTAGCAGCTGAACAGTTAATTGAGCCCTGAGATTTTAAACAGACCCATTTTCATTGGTTTATCGTGTGGTGATATTTTCTCAACAATCCACCCTGCAGGAATACACAGCCCTTCAGTCCCACGATGCAGCTAAGGAAGCGGCTAAGAGCAGAAAACAGACCATTTTAAATGGGTGCTGCACTCTGAAGGTCCAGCCGCAAAGGGGCAGAAACAGCTCTGACTCTGGGTACCCCGTGGGCGGCTGCCGTGTAGTCCTTCCTCGCTGGAAGGCTGGATCGATAGTTGCCTCTCACTACCGTCAAACACACAGTACTCACAGAACCACGGCCTTGTTCACGTAACTTCATCTGACTTCCTCACTTGTGAGCAGTCAGTAACCTTCACCAGTGAACCCAGGCTCCAAGGGCTAAGATGCCCCAAGGCAGCCGTCCCTCATGAGGGCTCTCATTTAGCAATGACTGGTCACATATAAGGAAAGCATTTCCGATGTGTTTGGGTGAAAACACGCGCGCGCACACACACACACAATCTGCCAAAATACAAATCAATTTGCACTTCTGAAAATAATTTGCAACATCAGCATGTTACTCACTGTTCGCGGGATGGGTGGGGAGAGCGATCCATTGGGCATGTACGGGTCGTTGTTCATATTTGGCATCATTATGTACCCAGAATAGCTCGAGTAGGAGGGCCCCTTGCCGTAGAGGCCTCCATCTGGATGTTTGCCTAAGAGAAGCCAAAGGACAAGCCATCATGCACAACCTCCCTTTCACGTCACTGTGTTTTTCATCTGAAAATCTCGCAGTACTAAGGCAAACCAGGCCTTGCCCACGAGACTCACCTACGAAGTACCGTGACCGGAGTGGCACGCCCTGGCTCAGGGTGACAGTATTGACTCTCTTAACTGGCTGAGCAGAAAACCAGATGCTTTTAAAACCATGTAGTTAACTGCCTCCCACTACCAACTAGTGATTTGTACAAAACGAAGTGTTAGCCGTCTAATACCAACACCCTGGCCTGAAATGCAGACACGGAACAGCACTGTGTCGACCTGCAGCTGTGACATGCATGCGTCAGGCCATCGCTCTGTGCACACACGTGTGCAGGTACACGCTTGAGCTCGGCTTTTGGGTGAACTCAAAATTCCACCTGTGCTTTTCGACTTCTAGACAATGTCTAGATTTTACCGAGGAGGAGAGCTGCAACTCATATATGGGTAACCACCCATATTCATAAAGGATTAACTCTGGGAGGCTTACATTTCTATGCTACAAATATTATTCTGCCAAATAAATTTGCATGTGGCCGGTACACATATTTCTTCCTTTTAATCCAGCAACACTTGGGGGTGGAGAAGGAAGTCTGTATGCAGTTCTCCCCCCTTTCTCCTGGTTGACACATTGGACATACAAACACTTCGATCTGGCCAGACCAATTGTTAAGTAATTAAAGGAAAACAAATGCAGACTGGTTGACAGGATATCCTACCAGCCACCCGATTCTTTTAAAGTCAGAAGGAATTCTACTGAAATCTAAATCTCTCCAGATATGAACACATAATTTTCAAAAGTTCTGAGCAAGAATCAGAACCCGACAGTGCATCGTGTTCCACAGCACAGCTCCTCATTATCATCTTAAATCTTTGCAGGTTAGACGCTGCTTTCCTCAGCCTGCCTTCTCGGTGCAAAGGAAACAAGAAAAAGCCATTCTGCAAAAACCCATTCAAAACTAGTCTGCTTCAAAAAGAAATCAACACAGGCTGTCTTCATACTAATGCATAAAAATAATACCAGGGATCTAAGCTAATTAGAACTTAAGATAAAATGATGAAAAGAGAAAAACTCATTATAAACATTCCTCCTTCCCCAGGAGTCTGAAGGCCAACTGATATTAAGGCCCTAACTCATTCAAAGGAGCTTTTCACATGTAATAGTCAGAGACAAGAACAACTGCTCTGTTAAAATAGTGGGCACAGTCTTATCACCTCAAGGTAAAAGCAGTGAAACTCAGCTTAATACACAAATCGTACATGGTGTATGATAGGTTGGGAGAAGCAGAATGGGGTCTTACCGTCATCGGAGTGTTCTCTGGCCTTGTCGTGGTAGGACTCCTGTGAGGCTTGGGCTTGTCTGGCCACCTAACAGCACGAATCCCCACCCCCAAAAGAAAGAAAACCACCTTAGTGTGTACGACATGGGGATACATGTGTGTCCACTGGTAACACAGGAGGAGGAGTAGGTGTAACTCCATCCGAGCTGTCTATCTCAGAGGCTGGGATGAGTACTGGGAACCCCCCCAACATGTACTGTTCAGTGATTAATCTCTACCTAGGGACCAAAATGTAAAAACAGTAGCAAAAACAATAAAAACTGAGTTAATCTGGGGACGACCCATTGCCGGTTTGAGGGGGCTGTTTGCTAAAACCTGTCGAGGCTGGTTGGAAGCCCTATGGGACAGCATCGGAGTTGATGGGGTTGAGCACTGCGAAAGCCTCTTTAAGCACTGTCCACTCCAATTGAAGCTAATTAAAAGCAGGTTGAAATATCATGTTGCAATGGAAAATGACATTTAAACACAAGCAGGCCGACCACTCAGACGACCACTCAGACGGGGTTGAAGGCACTACCCTCCTCACAGTCCCAGCGGGAGGGACCCAGGGCTTACAACCCACCTGGGCTGACAGAGTGCAGACCCGCCCATGGGAGAAAACTGCTGTGAGTTTCAGGGAGAACAGCCTGAGTGGGTTACAGCTGCCTGCAAGGTGCCCTGCTCCCTGGTCCAGCAGCCCCCTCGGACAGCCTCAAGCACGTGCCAGTCAGCAGTCTCCCTCGGTCTGCCCCTGCCTGCTTAACACCGCAGGCTGAGCAGAGCTAACAGCCGGGCTGGGTGTCCACAGCTGGGCCTTCCCCTAGGTCAGCGAAATGCAGAAACGTGAAGGGTCAGGGAGAGAGAAACCAGAGCGCTGGGAAGAGGCTGGCCACGGCCTTGGTGGTGTGGCTGTCACTTGGCTCCTTGGTGCCAGTGACCTCCACCCCAGTCACAAATCTTTCATGTGGGTTTGGGTGCTCCTGGCCCCCCACATCTGTCAGGTGGACCGGGGGTCGGGAGCTCGCTCACCTTCTGTCTGAACCCGGGCCTGGCCTCTCAGTGCATACTCACCCCTGCCATTGGGAGAGGGACGCTAACTCTGAGGTGTTCTTAAACGTGTCTAGTTTAAACCCCAAGTGTCCCCGCCCCTAAACCACACGCTTTCTTTTGGGGGGCAGAAGGATGCCATTTAAGGAAAAAGGGTATACCCTCTGAACTCCTTTAGAAGGAAAAGCCTTGGTGAGATCCGAAGGCCTTCTCAAATGGATTTCCTCCAGAGGGCTTCCCAGTCCAGCTGCAGGCTGAGGATGGCCAGGGGAGCTTCGGGACCCAGTCTATCTGCCCCTGGCCACTCCAAGCCCTGGGAGCCCCCATACACCCGCCTGCACCACAGGCCTGGCGGGCACCCACGTGTCTCTATTTACCCGCTCAGGTTACCAGCCGCGCCCTAGCCCGCTGGGCGATCAGATAAAGGCTGCCCACCGGCCGGCTGGTGCCGGCTTCCGCCCTCCCCTTTCTTCTGCGTGGACTGAAGGCCTGATCACCCAAACTAATCCCCCCTTTTTTTCTTTCCAGGGTGGTCGGGGTTGGAAAAGACTAGTGTCGCGGGTTGGACCGCAGGAGGGTGCCCCTGGGCCCTGCAGCCCAGCGCGCAGGCCCCGCTCCTCCGCAGTTGAGGTCCTGGGTGGCGCCCGCCCCTGCCCATGCCCGCAGCGCCTGCCTCCACCGCGGCTCTGTCGCCTGCACGTCGGCCTTGGCGGCTGCACGCACTGTGCAGAGACGCCTACCTAGACGGAGGGGTGCGCTCTGCCTTGCGCCCCACGGGAGACCTGCTCGGCAGTGCTGCTCAGACGTGCCCGCTTTGATGCAACGCACCCCTCGGCCCTCCACGCACTGCGGAGGCGACACGCTCCCGCAGACCGACCGTGGGGCCGCCGGGCCCTACCCTGACCCACTGCGAACAAGTTCCCCTGCACACCCTCAGCCCCCAGCACCTACGCGCGCTCCCCCCAGACACGCGAGGGCCCACGCGAACCCCGGCGGCCCGGGGAGGCGCGGAGCCGGAGGGGCCCCGGGCAGGGCCCGCTCACCTCGTGCCCGTTGCTGGCCGGGATGATTTCGGACTCGTTAACCAAAGACGACTTGATGTCGGCCAAGTCGCCTTCCTCTTCAGGGTGGCTGATCTCGGCGAAGATCTTCTCTTTCTGGGGATCGCCCTCGTCCTTGAAGGGGATCATCTCGTCCGTGGCGCACAGTTCCGGGTCCCCCCCGCCGCCGCCTCCCCCGGAGAGCTGGGGCATCCCGACGGCTCTGTAATCTCCGCTCCGCTCCGGGAGCACCCGCGGCGACAGCAGGAAGGAGTGGGGGGCGGCGCGGAGGGGGCGGGCGAGCAGGGCCGGGAGCGTGCGGGAGGACCGCGGGCGGACAGACCTAGCGGCCGAAGCTTGCCGGGGCCGACTTGGGAGTTGTTTCCGAGAAAGGAGGCGGCTGGCGAAGGCTCCGGCCGCCCCAGCGGGGAAGGCGCCCGGAGGATCGGAGGATAGCGAGTGTCCGCTTCCTGAGGGTAAAATAAAGAGCCGCCCGGGCCGGAGATGTCCGTGTCAGACCCGCGCTTCCTTCCCCTCGCTCCGGCTCCCCTCCTCGGGGCGCAGCTGGTCTGCGGGGGGAGGG